CGGGGTGGTCCCCATATTTGTGACTTGGTCTCTCTCACCCTTTCCCTCAAACCTACATCTCCAGGGTTGAGCCCAAATGGTGTGCCCATTGGAAGCTCCAAAGTGAACCTTCCAGCTCCCTTTCTTTCTCCTTCACTCCCCAAGGGAGGGGCCCTCAAATTCTCCCTCCCTCGTCCCTCCCACCCCACGTCCAGGAAAACCACCCTCAAGAAAGAATCTGCTGCCAATTCTGTCTACCCTAGTTTGAATCTAGTTTCAAGGTAGCCTCCCCAGGGAAAGTTGGCCCTTGAGCCTTCTGTCCAGACTGGGGAGTGGTGTGGTTTGAGGCATCATGGAGTTCGGGGGGGCGGGGGGGGAGGGTGAACACTCAGGAGCTGAGGCTCCCCATGCACTGTGTCTCCCCTTGGGCCCCTGGTGACCCTGCCAGAATGAGTATTACTGCCGCCTGGACTTCCTGTGGCAGAAGAAGCTGCGGCAGGAGCAGGAGGAGACAGAGACAATGGAGAACCTGACGCGGCTCCTGCTGGAGAATGTGCTCCCTGCGCACGTGGCCCCCCAGTTCATTGGCCAGAACCGGCGCAACGAGGTGACTCCCCCCGCCGACTCCTGAGCCCCAGATGCCATGGGCACTGATTTTGGATGGAAATCTTGGCCCTCGGCCATCGTCTCTGGACCCTCCCCCAGTGGGTTGGGTGGCCACCCGGGTCCCTGTCCCTGTCAGGTAGGTGCCTCCATCTTCATACGCTCTTAGGCTTCGTCTGCTGAGCACAGAACCCCTGCGTTCCAAGTTCTTACTTAGAAGGAGTGTCTTCTCCAACCCATGGCCACTCCGTACCTCCCAGAAGCTTCTTCGAGTGTTGATGGCAGTTGTGTGGAAGACACGCAGCCCACCCAGCCCTCTGGACCTGCACTATCCAGAATGGTAGCCAGTAGCCATGTGTGGCCACTTACATTTAAATTAATTAAAACAGAACGTTCGGGGCCTCAGCCTCACTGGCCACACTTCAAGTGTCTAAGAGCCGCTTATGGCCAGAGGCTGCCGTATCAGACATCACATACATAGAACTTTCCAACACCACAGGAATTTCCATTGGTAAATGTTAATCTCCATCCTCACCTGTGCTCTAGTCAGACCATCAGAGAAGGTCACCCACATATTGGCCCCATTTTATCTGCACTGCTCACCACTTCCCTCTGCCTGCTATGGAGATACTCTTGGCCTGTCCTGAGGAATGTTAAAAGAGACAGGTCAGGGGCTATTTCACAGCTTTATGCCCCCACCAGTTGCTCTCTGCTCTCAGAGTCAGCGGTAGATCTACTTCTCCTGGTTTCTTCTCTTATTTACACTGGGACTCTCATAACTATTCCTGTTTCTGTCTTCACACTGGCTGCTAGAAAGCTCAGAGCCAGATCCTAGGCCTAACAAGGACTTCGTGTCACCCCTTTTGTGAACCAACTTCAAATAGGATTCCATCTTTACTATCTTACCTTTATTTTCCCTTTGTCCCACTTCCCCTATTATTTTATCTTCCAAATTGTAGCTACCTTTGTAAACTGACTTAACTGGCTTAGCACCCTTCAGCAGTAAGATAGGTTAGAAAGACCATCCCCACCGACATGATCCCAGTTCTTGAAGAGACTCCCTTCACGTTGCCATGAGGTGATCCTGACTCCAAACCCCTGTCTCTCCTGGAATCATAATGAGACCCAATCTTTGACTCCTGAGTCACACATCCCTGGGGTAACCTGGCCCTACCCCTCTCCCTCCTTTCCAGTCCTTCTTAAATGGAGGGGTAAGAGTATGGACACAGGGAGGAGGGCCCATGCAGACCCGCAGGGGGGAAGAACGTGGCTTGCTTCCTCATCCCAGCCTCCCACCCTCCAGGACCTCTACCACCAGTCCTACGAGTGTGTCTGTGTCCTCTTCGCCTCAGTTCCAGACTTTAAGGAGTTTTACTCTGAATCCAACATCAACCACGAGGGTCTAGAGTGTCTGCGGCTGCTTAATGAGATCATTGCTGATTTTGACGAGGTGACAACTCCAAGGGTCCCCCAGACCCTTGGTCTTGGATGCTAGAATTTCCCACCAGTCCCTCCTGCCCACTTACTCTCCAGCCAGGGGCCCATCCTCCTCTCCCTGGCCCTGCCGCTCCTCCTCTGATCCCCCAGCTTTCCAGCAACTCTTCCCACAATCCACTCTCCCTCCTGCCACGCTCCCTGACCCCACAACCTGGTCCTTTCGCCTTCAAAGGCCTGGGGCTGGGCTTCTGAGAGGGAGGAGGGAGAGAGCAAGAAAGACTGGGGACACAGCCTCCTTTCTGTACAGCTGCTCTCAAAGCCCAAGTTTAGTGGGGTGGAGAAGATCAAAACCATCGGCAGCACCTACATGGCAGCCACAGGCTTAAATGCCACCTCCGGACAGGACACACAGCAGGTACAGCATCCCTTCCTTACCCACCAGCCCCCATCTGGGCTTGCGCTCCCGGGCCCTCACTGACCCATGCTGGTGGGCCGGCCCGTTGCTAGGATGCTGAGCGAAGCTGCAGCCACCTGGGCACCATGGTGGAGTTTGCAGTGGCCCTTGGATCGAAGCTGGATGTCATCAATAAGCACTCTTTCAACAATTTCCGCCTGCGTGTGGGTGAGGGCCCTCCCTTGCTGGGGCAGTCTGGGACTTCCTCTTCACCTTCTCAGGCTCTTCTTCCCCCCCAAGTCCTTGGTTAGCTACTCCCCAGCTCACCCCTGGACCCCTCCCCCCACCAGCCTCATCCCTGGGGGTGGAGCATGAAGCTGCTGGGCCAGGAGCTCTGGGGCTCAGCACCCCTTCCCTAAACCAGACCCCTCCAGACCCATCCTCCTTTCCTCTAAGACCTCCAGGTCTTCCGCCTGAGTCCTGGAGCTTCCTCCTCCCCTCGCCCTCCTTAAACCACGCCCCGCCCACCTCCCAGGGCTCCTCCTGACTACACCTCTTGTCAGGGTTGAACCATGGACCTGTAGTGGCTGGAGTGATTGGGGCCCAGAAGCCTCAGTACGACATCTGGGGCAACACGGTGAACGTGGCCAGCCGCATGGAGAGCACTGGAGTCCTGGGCAAGATCCAAGTGAGGAGGCCACATTGGAGGCATGGGGTGGGGGGATAGGACAGGGCCACCCCCACACTCCAGGCTCACACCCTTTCAATCCCAGGTGACTGAAGAGACAGCCCGGGTGCTGCAGGCCTTAGGCTATACCTGCTACAGCCGGGGCATCATCAAGGTCAAAGGCAAAGGGCAGCTCTGCACCTACTTCCTGAACACAGATTTGACACGAACTGGCCCTCCTTCGGCCACCCTAGGCTGAGACCCCCATTCTCTCTATTCTAAGATCCTCAATAAAAAGACTCTGGGGGCACCTGGCTGGCTCAGTGGGTTGAGCATCCGACTCTTGATTTAGGCTCAGGTCATGATCTCAGGGTCGTGAGATTGAACCCTGCTTTGGGCTCCGCACTGAGCGTGGAACCTGCTTAAGATTCTCTCTCTCCCTCTGCCCCTTCGCTCTCTCTCTCCTCTCTCTCTGAAAAAAAAAAAGACTCTGGTATGACTGGAGCCAATCGATGTCGAAGTTTCTGGTATAGCTGCAGATCACCTTCTCCTTGCCTCTCAACAGGATGCTTCTTCCCAAGCTAAACTGAGTGTCTGTGTGTATGCAAGTGTGATCATGAATATGTTAGAAAGGAGTGATTCTTCACAAGCTCAGGCAGAGGACTGCCTCAGCCTCCCTGCCTGATTCCAGTATTTTGTACACCTTGGAAGCGTAAAGAATTTTAGCCACGTGACTCAAAATAAGGATTTGTCCTTTCCTGCTCCCCACCCACAAATATTGGGAAGGAATGGCTAGGAAAATGTCATTTGGCCTTTATTCATGCAATAAACACTAAGTAAGCACCTACTCTGTGCTTCCTAGGCAGCATGGATGCGAGAGGCCTGGGAAATGATGTGTCGGGTCCCTCCCTCTTTTCAGCTGCTGCTGTCAGATTGACCCATGCTTTCCAGCCAAGACCTGTAGACAGTTTTGGGATTCTCTTGTTCTCAGGTCCCTCAGATGCCCCCTTGCTTCCTTCTGCATCCTCCTGTGCAGGTGCTGATATTATGGGGTTCTTGAAGCATCCCCGGTTCATTCCTAGTTGCTCAAATTTGGGGGTCTGTGAGCGATATCTGACACCCTAGGTTTGTTACAGATGTTGCACGTGGATTCTTGGTTTTTCTCCTAGTTGCTCTTTCTTTATGGAAGAGATTCAAAAAGTACTCCGCAGCCCCTTCTGCTACCATCCTCCTAAAATGCTGTTGGAACAGAGCCAGTCTGAGGCTCTCTAAAACAGTCATCCCTCAGAAAGAATGACTTAACCCTCTCATTTGTGGGAATCTTAATTTCCTAAGAGTGACCAGGGTCACAGAGGGCATCAGAGTGTATTTTGGGTGCTGGCAGAAAGCTGACCTGCAGAATTCCAGGGCCCAAGACCTGATGACTTTGTTTTCAAGGGAGACCTCCTTGGGAGATGGAGGGAAGGAAGGCAGTCCCCTAGAACATTGCCCACTGAAAGGGCAAAGATGAGTAGCAGGAAGTTGGGAGTCATGGTAACAGTGATAACTATCACAAGCTTCAGGGTAGAGGGCACAGAGCAGTGCCAAGTGTACTCAGAACATCTGCTGATTCAGGGAGTCTGGAGTGATAAGCCCACAGGAGTGGTCTTCCTTGGTCAGCTCCTTCAGGGGTCTGTAGCCCTGTGTTGTTCTAAGTATGACCTGCAGAGCACCTGCCTCAGAATGGGGCAGGAGAGGGGGTTCTGGGTTCTGTATCTTCGTGTCCCTTCCCAAACTGAAAATCACGGGAAACTAAAGGATGTGCCTCTCAACTGTTGAGAAGGACCCCACCCCCACCGCCGCAAGAGCGCCCAGGAGCACCCTTCTCGCCCCTAATGCACGCGCCGCGCCGCACACACAGGGCTGACCCAACGTGAGACCAGTTTTAATTGCCAAGCTGCTCCGGGCTTTCCCTCTGCCCTTACCTGCCCCGCCCCTCCCTCCTCTTCCGCTCCACCCTCCTCGCGTTCTCCTCCGCCTCCGCCTCGGGGTAAACTGGGTCAGGCCAACGTGGGGAGCATTCCGCCGCCGCGAGGACAGCCAGAGCCCTTCCACCAGCACCCCCCAGGCCTAGTTCAGTTCGCTTCACTGCAGAGCGTCGATGGAGTCCGCGAGGCTCTCGGAGGGGCCGGGCTCGGGAGAGGCGGGGGCGCCCCTCACCATCGGGCCCAGGGTGTCCCCGCGGCGCGCGCTCGACGCCTCGGAACCGGTGCCCTCCAACAGCTTGGCGACGAAGCCCACGCCGGCCGAGCGCAGCAGGCCGCCGCCGGCGCACGCGTACAGCACGGGGTTCACGCTGCTGCTCAGGAAGGCCAGCGCGATGAACACGTGGCGCGCCAGCAGCAGCGGGTCTCCCATGCGGCCCGGCCCCGGCCCCGGCTCCCTGCCCGCCAGGGCCCGGCCCGCCTCGGCCAGGTTCACCACGTGGTAGGGCAGCCAGAAGGCGGCGAAGGCCAGGATGATGAGCGCCACCAGGCGACCGGTGCGGCGGCTGCGGCGGAAGCGCCGCGCCTGCAGCCTGCGCCTGATGTCCGAATAGCTGGCCACCACCAGCAGGAAGGGCAGCAGGAAGCCGGTAAAGGCCTCGAAGAGCAGATGGAATGCCTTGACTCGTTCGCTGGAGTACGTCGGGAAGCACAGGGTATGGTTGTTCTGTTTCGTCAGGGTGCGGTATATGATGACGGGTGTGGCCAGCAGAAGGGACATCACCCAGATGCTTGCTAGCACCCACCAGGCAACGACCTTGGTGCGAAACTTCTGGGACACAAAGGGGAGGGCCACGGCCAGCGAGCGGTCCACACTCATGGCCATGATCAGCAGGACGCTGGCGTACATGCTGACTCCGCAGGTATAGTGAAACAGGCGGCAGCCAACCAGCCCAAATGTCCAGGTGCGACGCGCCACAGAGTACAGGAAAAAGGGGGCAGTGAGCAAGACAGCCAAGTCCGCCAGGGCCAGGTTCAGCACCAGCAAGGCCGTGACGGAGCGCTTCCGCATCCTCACCAGGATGCTCCACACCACAAAGCTGTTGCCAGGAAGCCCCACAGCCAGCGCCACTGACAGTATGATGATAGTCAATGGAACGATGAACATGACCCCTAGTGAGGAGGTACTGCCCCAGATGTAGTGTCCGTGGCCACTGCAAGGACCTGGAGAGTGAGGGCGAACACAGGCCTGAGGGTAGGGGGCTGAGGCTTCCTGCCGCCCTGGACACACCTAGCCTGAGCACTCTGGTCCGTCTCCAAGATCCGCAGCAGGAGATGCACCTCTGCAGTATACCGCCTTCACCCCTTCACCAACGGACCTGGCTTCAGGGGATCTGGCAGAGCACAAAGACCGGTTTCTAACTGGATCATGGGGCTCCTTCCTGCCCACAGACCCAGTTGCCAAATACAGAGCTACAGCAGCAGCAGTATTTCCATACCCTTTCTGCCTCCTTCCCTTCTGAGACCCAGAACCAAACGGGGGAGGGGGGCCTTCCTTACCAAAGCTGCACCCCTCAAAGGCCTAGCTCCTCTGTCACCTGCCAGGCCCTTAGCCCCCTCAGTCCCGTCGACTTCCTCCAGTCATCTACTGACTCTCTTCAGAGCTGCCCAGGGCCCAGCAGGAATAACAGGGATGGGGAGGAGTTTGTGGATAGGAGACAAGAACAAGTCATCCCCGGTCCTTTTACCACTGGTCAGGCTTTCTTTGGAAATTCCTTTGCATCTTCTCTCACAGTTGTATCCTGCCCCATCCCTACCTCCCCTGCTCCCAGGATACTTACCTCCAGGCTTTGCCAGGTACCGGTCGGAAGCTGGTGCCAATCCCAAGGTCGGGGCAGAGTGGCGCAGCCTATCCCCAGGTCAGCCCCAGTTCCAGGGTCCCAGCCCCAGGTCTGGGTGCTGTCAGCTAAGTCTGCCAGAGAGGAAGTACCAAGAAGCAGAGGAGGGGGAAGCACATCTTCCTGAGGGTGGGGCTGAAACTCCTAGCCCTCCCTTCATGGGGAGGGGGGGGAGCTAGTCTTTGTGTTCCAGAAGAGCCTAGCAGGGAGGAAGGCTCCTCATGGGTGGGACCAGATGAGAAGAGCCCAGGAAGGTGTAATGAGAGGAAAGGGGGGTGAGGGGAGTGAGTATGCTGGGGTGTGGCCTCAGATGCAGGTCTAGACTGGAGAATTGGACAGAGTAATAAACTGTCATACAGGAGAAGGAGGGAGGGAAGCCAGAGAAGGGAAATGGGCTCAGATGGAGAGGCCAGAATGTTGGATATCTTTATACGTTGTGTGGATAATGTAGATTTTTAGATTAATAGGAAGCATAGGTTAGACCCGTGGCTAGGTCATGGGTTTGGGTTTAGGTAACATCAGGACTTAAAGAGGACAGCACCCTGTCTTTGGCTTGGATTCAAGCTATGAGTGGAGTTGGAGGGGGATGGCCCTCTTTCAGCACCCAAATCTATTCCCTCATTTAAAAGGGTTGCTTCAGCTCTACATCAGTCAGTTCTCCCTTCCCTTTGGCAGAAGCCAAAGTCCAAAGGATCTCCTTAGTATCGCACAGAATGCCAGTTTCTCCGCCCTTCCCCAGCCACTTGCCTTACACTCGCCTGTGTGGCTTGCCTACCACATGAATTTGGATTTAAGATCTGGGCACTGGGCAAAGAGGTCGGCACCCTCTCTCTCCTACCTTCCCATAGTTGGCTGTCCAGTCCCACCTCAGACACACAGAAAAGGCCGAGCCTGAGCACAGGGAGAAGAGGTGGGGGCAGCGATGCTTCACAACTGCCCTGCCAGGAGGGGCAACCAGGAACATGCAAAGAGGAACAGCCTCCCCAAATGGTCACTCTTCTCCCTTCCTAGAGGGAGGGCAGTCTCCCCCTGTGACGTCTCCTGCAGGGGCTAAGATCTGAGAAGTCTTTCCTTCAGTCTGACCATGAGCCTTCCTGCTTCCCTGCCAACTCTGTCACTTGTCAGGGAAGATGTGGCATGTGATGGTGCTCACTGAGGTCCCTTACCCTTCTGCTTTGAAAAAAGGCCAGCGCAGAGCAGACCCAGCAGCTATGAGGCAGAGGATGTGATGCAAAGAAATGGGCTGAAACCGCAGCAAGAAGGCAGAGTGGAGGAAGGGCTTTCTGACCACAGATGTTGTGAGACGGGGACTATGGAAGAGAGTAAGTTAGGGAGCCTCTGCCCCGGCACATGTGAACAGGAAGAAGCCCCTGCTGTCAGTGTTTGGGGAGAAAGTTCTGGCTCAGAGCTCCAGGGTCAACCAGAGGCTCCTTCTGGCAGAAGCTGGGTTGTCTTTGCTTCCTCTCCCAAACTACTCCCCACCTCCATGTCTCTCAATGGCCTTTATTCCTCCACCCCAGACTAGATACTCTAAGCATACTTCCTGCTCCCCAAATCCAGAGTTCCACTTCCGCCTCAGTTTGGGTGGCCCTGGCGTGACCCTGAGGACTGAATTTCCTTTGTTGTTTCTTGGCCTCGGCCTGGGTGGTGTAAACAGTCACTAATGCAGAACCTGGGGTGATGGTCCCGAGGGAGCACTCACATAAACGGCCATCAAAGTTTGCCAGGGACTGAGAGGACTGGGGCACTAAAACTGGGAAAGCCTTGGGCAAACCAGGACGAGTCGGTCACACTAGTGACCACATGTGTGTGCACGTGGACACCCTCTAATAAAGAATCCTATCCTACATCCTCAAACTCAAAAGTGTCAGGATCCGTAACAGCTTTAGGACCTAGAGGTGGACAGACTCCAAAAGATGGAGGCCAAGAAGTACTGGAGGGTGCTGAGCAACAGCTAGCAGTCTTGGGAGGAGTCAAGATTTGGCAGAAAGAAAAAGGAGACAAAGGAGAGGGGACGCCTCCCTGAAAAATTCTTCCTGTCCTCCAGCCATCCACACCATTCCCCATACCTGCTCAGCTCCAAGCCCCAAACGTCCCCAGGGGTGAGCATGTGCCTGCTCCTGGGCTCCTTTTTGAGTCAGTTGACCTTTGGGGGAAGAGTTGGATTCAGAGGGGAAGACAAATCCGACGCCCACGGCTCCTTCCCCCGCTGTACCAACCGCAAGACAGGAAAACTTTCCTTTCAAACACCACAGATTGTCTTTCCCCTTCCAGAGCCAGGTTTTTCTCCACTCGGCTCTTGCAGACCCTAGAGAATGGATCCCATCCCCATCCCTCATTCAAGCACCCATACCTTTCTTTCCTCTTTCTCCCTTTATTTCCAGAGTGGTTCAATAGGTTGGCCTGGGGGGACCTAGGCCACCTGGGCTGGGGAGGACAAGTCAAGATGCCACTGAAGGCTGGCAGTGCCCAGCCTTGGGCTGACCCAGGAGAGAACCAGGTGGCTTCGGTACAACTCAGGCATGATGAACTACCAGTGGGGGCATGCTTACCCCATCATGTAATGCCCCCCCCCCCCCCAGTGTATTTCACAGTAGCTCTTGGCAGCAAGTCAGCAGCTCTGGCACAGAGGCACATGCCAACCTGCAAGCACACAGTGCCATCACCTCTTGCAGTCCCTCTGTTTGGAGGTACCTGGGCCTGCCCCAGGGGTATAATAATTCTGCCCAGAAAGATCCAAACTGTGGCCAGAGAAGGGTCCCCAAATGCTCCAGAGTGGTTCCCTGAGTTCTGGGGGAGGGACGATGGAAGGGGACAGGGAAGAGGCAGGCCCGGTTGTAGGGTTTGGTGTCAAGGTTCCCATCCCTGACTGTCCTTCTTCACCCCGCCGCCGGGGTCTCCATCGCCCTGGCCCTGCGCCACCACTTTGAGCCGAGGGGTAGCTCGGAGCTCCATGGTCCCCTCCCTAGAGCGGCCGCCCCCTCGGGCCTCTCCCGAGCCCTCGAAGAGCCGCGTGAGGAAGCCGGGGCCTGCCCGGGGCAGCAGATCCCCGGCGGTGAAGACGTAGAGCACCGGGTTGACGCTGGAGCTGAAGAAGGCCAAAGCGGTAGTTCCAGCCCGCGCTGCCTGGCCCGCCCCGCCCAGCCTCGCCAGGGCCCCTCCGGGCGGAGCCAGCGCGGCCGCCACCTGCAGAATGTTGACCGCGTGGTAGGGGGCCCAGAGCAAGCCGAAGGCGAGCACGATGGCGCTCACCAGCCGGCCCACCCGCGTCCCGTGCCGCCCGGCGCCCCAGCGGGCGCCCCGCAGCCGCGCCAGCGTCAGGCCGTAGCAGCCGAGCACCAGCCCGAAGGGGAGCACGAAGGCCGTCAGCGTCTCCAGGCTCAGGTGGGCGGCGGCGTGGGCCGGCGACGGGTGGCACAGCTGGCACACTCGGCCCCCCCACACGTGCCGGTAGACGGCGGCCGGGGCGGCGAGCAGCAGCGCCGCCAGCCAGACGGCCAGCAGCAGGCGGCGGGCCAGGGCCGGACTGCGCAGCCAGGGCGCCAGGAACGGCCGGGTGACGGCCAGGCAGCGCTGCAGGCTGAGCAGGCTGGTGAGCAGGACGCTGGCGTACATGCTGAGCGCGCACGCGTAGTACACGGCCTTGCAGCCCGCCTGGCCCAGCGGCCACGTCCGCCCCGCCAGGAAGGCCACGAAGAGCGGCGTGAGCAGCAGCACCGCGCCGTCGGCCAGCGCCAGGTGCAGCACGAGCGTGGCCGCCAGCGGTCGCCCCCGTGCGGGCCGCCAGCCCGCCAAGCTCCACACGACGAAGCCATTGCCGGGCAGCCCCAGCAGCGCCGCCAGCAGTAGGAAGGCCGTGCCCGTGACGCGCGAGGCCTTCCAGCTCAGCAGCGTCTCGTTCCCCGGGGGCCGGTAGCAGGCCAACATTCTTCTGCGCCTACCGGGGTGGGGGTGGGGGTGGGGGTGGGGGCGGGGACGGGGGTGGGGGAGACGGAAAGGGCCATAGAAGGCATTTAGGGACTCTGTCTCCTCCCACCTCCCTGTCCTCCGTCTCGGAGCCTTGACTCAAACACTACTTCTTGGAACCCAAATGCCCTGCTGTCAGTCAGCTGACCTCCCCAGGCCTGACTCCTGGTTCCCACTCTCACGACCTCCATCTCCACCCCCTTTAGCTGGGCCCCTCCTTTGTCCAGCCCCATTCCTTCTACCTCAGCGCAACGTGAGTGGTGGGAAGTCAGCGTGGATGAGCAGAGCTACTTACCTAGCCGGGAGCTAGAAGGATGGTGGGCCCACCAGGAGCCTGGGAAGCTGAAAGGCACAGCAGCAGTGGGAGAGGTGCCTACTCACGCCCTGTGCCTGTCAGGTTTGCAGTGTGAGACAAGAATGGGGAGGGACAAGGTGGGGCTCTTCTCTGGCCTCTCACTGGGGCCCTTCCAGCACTCTACTCTTTCCCATCACTAACAGGCCCAGGCGTGTGAGAGTCCGCCTCCCTAGGAAATAGGATAAGCTGCAGGGTACAGATAAGGTTCCCAGATCATGTAGGTGAGTAGGGACACTGCTGAGTCCTGACTCTGGGTCCTGCATCTGCACTCATGCCTCCCCCCCAGTTCTGGCCCCAGTTGTCCCATCCCTGCCACCCGCCTGTTATATGCTCTCAGGCTTCCCTGGCCGGCACTCAGCAGAGAAGGTGACCCAAACTACTCATTCCCCCAGCTGCTCTATCTTGGCCCATTTCCAGACTTCTGATCCAGCTGAGCCCCCTTTTCCCTCAGTTTCCTACCTGCTCCTCTTATCTTTTACCTTAGGCCCTGCCCCAGTTGTTCCCCCCTCCCAGGGAGGGGGGGGCTCTCACTGGGCTGTCATTGACAGCCTCCAGTCACGGTACTGAGTTCTGGAGGATGCATGGAGGTACAAGGGGCTTATACCCTCCTTTTTTTTTTTTTTTTAAGATTTTATTTATTTATTTGATAGAGAGCGAGACACAGCGAGAGAGGGAACACAAGCAGGGGGAGTGGAAGAGGGAGAAGCGGGCTTCCCATTGAGCAGGGAGTCCGATGCAGGGCTCGATCCCAGGACCCTGAGATCATGACCTGAGCCGAAGGCAGACGCTTAACAACTGAGCCACCCAGACGCCCCAGCTTATACCCTCCTTGAGGAATCATAACACACAACCTCCAAGAGACCCTACTACCGAGCTGCACCAGGATACAAGATAAGAAGAAAAGAATCGGTGCATTGGTAGAGACATACCGACAAGAAGGCTTCTCTGGGTGAAGAAGTCAGGCAAAGCCTGGAAATGAAGAAATTCTAGGGGGACCCGGTACACTGATAAGGTGGAGGTAAGGGGAAAGATCCCCGTCCAGTCAACAGCTGGAACTGGAGGCTCCCAAGGAGCCAGGACGCCAGTATTGTCTCAGTTTGGGTTACTTCCAAAGCACAGCCTGAATTAAGGGCTTGGGTACAGGTAATCCTGCATCTGGCAGGTCAGCTCTGGAAGCAGGAGTGAGGGAGCAGGGCAGAAGAGGGAAAAAGAGAGCCAGGAAGAGTATGTTGTTGGGTCTCTTCAGTAGGGATCAGGAAGCTCTCAGAATTACACAGAACACCTTCCAGAAAGACTGAAGACTGGGACACTGGTGCCCAGCTTGTATTCCCCATGGTCTGAGGGCTGTCCAGAGGTATTATACACATTTGCAGCCTGTTCTTGTCAGAGGTCTTAGTGGGCTGCCACAGCTTCGGACACCGAGGCAGGAAAGCAGAGATTCACACTCATGTGACGGGTTCAGCCTTAGTGAGATCTGAGCTTCCAGACAAATGTCCACCACAACTGTCGCTGAAATCAGAGCAGACTCAGGGTACCAAAAGCTAGTCTCAGTGTCTTCAAAGGACACACCCCCCTTCACAACTCCTTCGTGCCCATTAAGTGGCCAAAAGAGAAAGGTAAGAGAGAAAGTGACCAATCCAGTGTGGCTAAAGTGAGCAGTTCTGGAGAACGAAGCCGGTTCCTCCCCTAGATCAGGGAGGAAGAAGCAGGGAAGCAGGAAGGCCATGGTCCCTGCCAGGATCCTGGTAATCCTGGATCCATGCAGCAGGATCCATCCTCCACTCACCGCCCACCCTGGCACTCTGCCTTACCCCTCATTGTGTTCAAGCCCTGCCCACAATCCCACCCTCAGCCTGGCCTCCCTTTTCCTAAAGCTGCAGTTTGTGGCTTTCACAGTAGGTGGCGGCAAGTCCAGTGCAAATCCCATATAATGCAACTTCTCAAGGATGGGAGCCCAAAACTATCCCTAGAAATTCTCTCCATAGAAAGAAAAAGACCAGAGATCATATCCCATCCTCTTACACCGTTCCCACTTATCCTCAGCACACACCGCCACCAAAGACACACACACACACACCCCCAAGCTTCTGTGACCTTTGCGGCAACTCTGGGCCTCAATCCCTCCTCCACGATCCCATCTAGGCCCCTCCTTTTTCCCTCCCCTTGGACTTTGCCCTTCTTACTGGCCTGGCAGGCGGGGCCAGAGTCCGGGGTGACTCATCTCCCACCTCACTGGGGCTGAGACCCCAGCTCTGTAACAGAAAACACCACCACTTCGGCCCCAGCACAGCAGAGAACCACCCAGCCTAGAACTCACCGGGAGAAGCAACTATCCTCCTGCTCCTTCCCTCCACCATGGAGTACCTCTCATCCCTAGACCCCAGCGGTCTGCTCAGGTGATTTCTAACCCTCCTCTCTACCCTCCAACACTGAGGATAGTGCACGGCAACAAAATTCCACTCAGCCCCTAGGAGACTCAGAGACTAACGTACCCCTTCCCTTCCCCGCCCCAGTTTTCCACAGTGGGCTTGTCCAGCTATGGAACCACCACTGACCACCCCTCCTCCGTGGTCTCTCCCTCTCTCCCTAGGCTACTCTGATCTCCAAACCTAGATCCCTCCCTAACTGTCCAAGTACCCCACCCCCAGTCATCCCCACTGCAGTCACCAAACTCCTCAGTTCTTGACCTTTCTCGCCAACTACCAGGTCGGTATCCAATATGAGCTCTGAGTTTGGCCGGAAAGTCTGGACTTCAGCTCCACCACCCCAGCGACCTTTCCGAGTCTGTGATCACAAGCGGACCACCCGGAAAGGTCTGACAGCTGCCACCCGCCAGGAACTGCTAGACAAGGTAAGTGAGCCAATTCCCTAAGTTCCGATTGCAGGGGCAGCCAGGGCGCTAGAGAAGAGTGAGAACTTGGAGTGAACAGAAAGGCTGAGGTTAGTTACATGGCTGCCCCTCCCTCTAAGGGCTAAAGGGCAGGGGGACGGTCAGCCCAATGACCAATGCTGTATTTAGGTCGATTCATTTCTTTTCCAGGGGGTAGAGGAAGGAGTAGATAAGGGAGGGTTGGAGGGATGGCATTCAGAAGTCAGTATGGAGTGTCGATTTGTATGACAAATCAAGTTCAAGTCCTGATTCTATCAGGACTTGCTGGTTTGCTAGTGTCAAACTGTAGGAAGTTGTTCAGTCTATCAAAACTTCAGTTTCTTCATCCACAGAAAGGGAATAATGACACACCTTCCTCCTAGAGTTGTTGAAAGCAGTCAAAGAGGACAATGTATGTAAAGTACTACATAGATGCCTGACACTAATGAAGACTCAAAAAGGTTAAGCGTCATTATTACTGAAAACAGTTCTGGAGGACTCTCTGAGGGTGGGGACAGTGAGGTAGGACACTGGAGATAAGACCGAAGGATGGACCTCAACAGAAGCAAGCGAGGTTTTCAATTACAAGCCAGTAGGAATGGTTCAAAGGAGTACAGGGGAGAAGACAGTGACGTGGACAATGACATAGGAGCAAAGAGGAAAAGAAGTCAGCCCTTAGTGAGGGTCCCCCAGCAACTGAAGAACACCGAGCGCTGGAGCCATTTGAAGGGATGGCAATTTTCCAGGAAGTAGAGTTGGGGTATCAGCCAGCATCTAGGGCCAACCAATGGATGTGGGGTAGCTGGGGAGGGAGGGGCATGGCTAAGCTCTGCGCCTTCCCTCCTGCTTCCTGTGGCTGGGCAGGCACTGGAGGCCCTGCTGCTGAGAGGGATGCTAACACTGGTGCTGGAGGAGGATGGGACCGCTGTGGAGAGTGAGGACTTCTTCCAGCTTTTGGAGGATGACACATGCCTGATGGTGCTGGAGTGCGGGCAGAGCTGGAGCCCCAGCAAGGTGAGAGGCCACCGTGGGGCTGTTGTCGGCCACCAGTCTCTCTCGAGCTTCTCTAGCCCAACCATGATCATGGGGGCGGACACACTGGGAGAGGCGAGGAGTTGCCAAGGACACCTTATAGGGGACAAATGGTCCAGGCAAGAGTGGGTCTGACCTAGTGCTGATGGGGAATAGTGGTGGGTGCCTGGGTGGGAGGGTGCACTGCACTGATGGAAGTGCCCTGCAGAGTGGCATGCTGTCATATGGCCTGGGCCGGGAGAAGCCCAAGCACAGCAAGGACATCGCCCGCATCACCTTTGACGTATACAAGCAAAACCCTCGAGACCTCTTTGGCAGCCTCAATATCAAAGCCACGTTCTACGGGCTCTACTCCATGAGTTGTGACTTTCAAGGACTCGGCCCAAAGAAAGTACTCAGGTCAGAGACCAACAGGTCATGTTTCCCCATCCCCCTACAGTTGCAGCACCCCTCATTCCTTCTGCACTCACCTACCCCATTAGCTCTCCCTTGTGGAAAACCCCCTTGATGGCCTCCTCCCAGGTTCCCCCACCCATCCGACTCCATCTTGTCTCTGCCCTTCAGGGAGCTCCTCCGTTGGACCTCTGCACTGCTGCAAGGCCTGGGCCATATGCTCCTGGGAATTGCCTCCAGCCTTCGCCATGTAACAGAAGGGGCCGAGCAGTGGCACTGGCAGCAGCAGGGTCGCCTCCATCCCTACTGAGAAGGGGCTCTGAGCTGCTTTCTGCCCCTAGACTCACTGCAAGAGACATACTGTGAGGACTGTGAGGGCATCGGCTTTGGAGATGTGAGGACAGTGTAGATGAGATGACTCACCTGATTTCCCCCACTGTCTTCTGACCCCATTGTTACAGGCCCCATCAGCATAAGGCCTTCCAGCCCTAGCCTATACCCTTTCCTGAAGAATGCTGTTCCCTTCCCAGCCAGCTTTCCACCCTCCCACTTACCCTGAAAGGCCACAAGCCCATCCCCAAGCATCTCAATTCCACCCTCCTGATCATTGCTACATCTAGATTCTTTGCACCTCCTCCTGTCCCTAAGCTTCCCAATGCACTGAATTCGGCCCTCTTTGACTTTGTCTAGATTTCTTTATACACTTCTCCCCAAAATAACAAAAACATTTCCAATAAAAATATAAAAATATTTATTATTAAGACTTCTGACTCCTACTTAAACTACAAAGGGGACAGGACAGGTATGCCCTTTACCCCTCCCCCATCAACACCCAGTCCCAGATCCAAAGGCCTCAGTCTTCAAGTATTGAGTTCAAAGCCCGCCTCCTCTTGGCTACTGCCCCCTGCTGCTGTTCCCAAGCCTCTCGGCGCTTCAAGAAAGTAGTCAGGGCCACGTTTCGAGCCACATGGTGGCCAAAAGGGTCTCTTATCAGCTCCTGGTTCCGCTCCCCTGCAAATGGAAACACTCATGTTCAGTATCATCATGCAGTCACCCACCATGCTCAAAGGGACTCCCCCTGAGTGAAAGCCCTTCCATTTTCCCTGGGCCCTGGGTTGGTCTCGGGATCATGAATACCTCACTCTCCAAAGAGGAGAAGCTAGGGGCGGGGTGGGAGCTCAGGGCTGCATAATCAGCAGAGGAGAAGGGGAGGAGAGCAGACTGCTAAGAACCCATGGCCAACACCATCCTTTAGAACCGAAGTCTCTGCTAAATTTAAGTCCCCTCTCCAGCCACCCAGCCGTCTGAAGTGAGGGAAGTTTGGAAAGGTCAGAGAGAGGTGCCAATACTCACCCAGCTCAGCAGCAATTTCCTTCCGGGCCCCCAAGGCTGCTCCACTCCAGATGGCATCTAGTACACGGCTGCCATGGCGACTACAGGCCAGAGCCACATATTGTCCCTGCAGTGAGACAGGCAAGGTAGGTCCCCCTAGGGCAGTCCACAAAAGGTGTGCTGGGGAGGGCAAGGGTGAAGTGAAGTTTCCAAAGCTTATAGGTGGAGTCAAGAGAATCTGGGAACTACATATTCTCTCTTTGACTCTGAAGGACAGTACCAGGGCAAGCTCATGTTCTCTTAAATGGATGTTGGTGGGGGCATCAAAGCAGAAACTAGAACCTTTAGGGTCTTCAGCACACGGCGGCGCTGCTTGCGCGTCACGGAGGGGCTGGTCAGGATGGCATCGAGCACGTGTGAGCCAGCAGGGCTCTGGGCTAGAGTCAGAAGTTGTGGTCCCGTCAAAGCACCCAGACTTTGAAGTATAACACCAGGACTAGAGAAATGCAACAGATGCTGGAGCAGGAGAGACCCCAGGACTGTCACGTCCCCCAGGGCCCTGGCCGTGGCCATGTCCACCTGGAAGGACAGAGAGAGGGCATTAGGAGGCAGCCACCAAACTGCCACCTCTGCCTGGATGAAGCCAGAGACCTCACCACCCTCACCACAAGGGTGAAGGACTTTTTAAACCCTGGCCCCCAACTAGTCACTGGCTTGGCCCCTCTCCTACCTCACCTGGTGCTCTGCAGGCACTGCCCCCTCCTCCTCCAGCAGTCCATAGTACACCTCATAAGCCATCAAAGTGGCAAAGAGAGGCACACAGGCCACTTGCCGGGAAGAGGGCTCTGCACAGTGGAATGCCTACAGGAGAGGACAAAACATGATGAATCTGAGAACTACTTCATCCCTAACCCCGACTCTCTAGACAAGGCAAAGCATTCAGGAGACGTGAGAGTGTAAGCTGCACAAGGGCAGGATCTCCTCTGCCTTGCTGTATCCCCAGCCTCTATACACATGACAGGGGTTGAATAAACATTTAGTCCCTAAATAAACTGTTCTCTTAGTCCTGGGAGACAATTTTCATTCCAGGGCTAGGACATGGGTTTGGCGTCATTTTTCCCTGTATCTGCGAACTCCTCGGGCATGAGACCTCTTCGAGTCCAGAGATACAACCACTGAAGGTCAGAGAAGTCCTAACTGGTAGAATTTGAACTGAGGGCATAAACGGGTGGCGGGTAATATCACCTCCAACAACAGCAGCAGGACCTGGGCTTGGTGGGCCCCAACTCTGCGGCATGCCCCCACCAGGGCAATGACCACCCCTGGGTGACCTTGAGCCAGCACAGCTTCCAGGGCAGGGCTCAGCTCCTCAAACACAGGGGACAGCTGAGGAGAGACACAGAATGAAGAATCTTTGGCATTCTGTAACAGTGGACTAAGTTATTCAGAGAAATCTTCCTACTGAAAACAACTAAAAACGCTAGATAAGCATTGCCAATATCAGGGTTTGGGTTTGGCCACATAAAGTCCAGGACCAGGGGACAGTTCTAGAGGTGCCGCCTCACTTGGTGGGAGCAGGGTACTTTAAATGGCCACACTCTCAAGATAAAGGGATACTAGAATTAAATCCGCCCTTCTTACCCCAAATCCCAACCCATGAAATCACAGGCAAGCATGCCTTGGTGCTAAGCAGCAAAGGCAAAAAGAAGCTACGGCAATAGCCCCAGCACTCACACAGATTTGTAGCTAAGTACCCAGAGTCTGACTGGACCATGGAACCTCAAGCTGCAAATCTGCATCAAGCCAGTCTCCTGCCAGGCACCTGAGAAGCTAACACAAATCCTTTCTGGGAAGAGGGCACTTTTGTCCTAAGCTCTGAGAAACCCCCAGGAATAACCTTTCAAGGGGAATGGCCAGCACACTGTCAGAGACACCGAGGCAGGCACACAATAAAATAAGGCCCAATGAACAAGAACTAGCAGAAACAACAGGGTACAGAAAGAGATCTAGCCCCATTCTCAACTCACCAGCTCAGTGGTAGTAATAGCATCCAGTAAACGCTGCAAAGGGAAGTTGGCAATAGGATGTGCAGCCAGGGCCTGCAGCTGCCCTTGGAAGTGATCCTCAAAGAGGCTCTGGAGCCTCAGGGGCTCCAACACCAGCAGGACCTGCTCCAGGAGTCTGGAGCTCGTCTGATCCCGCAGAAATAGCAGCAGGGGGCTAGGGACAAGGAGAACGTGATCAGGCAGCCTTTATTCTACTTCATCTAAAATACCCACATCACTTCATTCACTTCACACAGCTTGACCATACCTGCCATCTGCTGAGGAGTTGCGGCTACTCAGATAGCTGATTACAGCATTGCAGAGATGAGCACAAAACTGGGGCAGTTTGCGGTGTAAGATTTGTAAGGCCACTTGAAGGCAGAAACTGGAGATCTTGTCAGTGATAAATACTGTGGGAGAGAGCAGAAATAATCAAAGCAGCTCTTCCAAAATCTAGACAACCTGTACAACCTCAAACCTCAAGCAATAAGGTACCAGGGACTATGGACATAAAGGCTCTATACAGAGTCTTTGCAATATCAAACCAGATCAGATTTGAAGAGGAATATGACTGATCTAAGTAAGAGCTTTGCATGATGACAGTCACCTCCAGAAAAATGGTCCTAGATCCTCCTTCTATCACCCTCCTTACCGGCAATGTCCTTCAGAAAGCAAGAGCTCAGGTCCTGAAGGCAATTCAAGAAAGTTTCAGGGACCTCAAAATCAGTTGGCTTACACTCCCGAGCTGGGGCCCTTTGTGCATCTGAAAGATCAAAAACATGTGCAGTGCTGGGATCACAAACTACCATCCAAGAGGGAGAATGATTCCATAGATGATCAAGGATTCAGCTTGGAGATGCAGAACACGCATGAATATCTCTCCTCATCTGGATGACTGAACTGAGACTATGTTTCTGTTTTAAATTTTCTAAGAAATTTCAACCAGCTCCCCAGTGGTCCATAGGAGACAGGCCAAACTCTCAGTCAGGAATTCAAGGTGTTCCAAAATCAGGCCTCATCTAAACTCTCTAACCTTATTTCCCAGAGTTTTTCAAAATGTAGGTCACTGCCTATGAGTGCATCATGAAATCACTTTAGTGGATCTTTTTTTTAAGATTTTATTTATTTATTTGAGAGTGAGAATGAGAGAGCATGAGAGGGGGAGGGTCAGAGGGAGAAGCAGACTCCCTGCCGAGCAGGGAGCCTGATGCGGGACTCGATCCCGGGACTCCAGGATCATGACCTGAGCCGAAGGCAGTCGCTTAACCAACTGAGCCACCCAGGCGCCCCTAGTGGATCTTAACCAGGCCTTTTTCAATGGAATAGAACAGAATAAAATAAACCAGACAAGAAAATATCAAAGTGGACTGCATATATTAAGAATATTGTCTCTCGAAGTTCTGTTTTGAGTCCAATATCTGTATACATACACATAGGCAGGTTCAGTGATGTTTAAAAAAAAAAATTCTGTAAGTTGTGGTTAAAAAAAAAAATTGACATCCATTGCTCAAATGAATCACCTCTTACCCCTGGCCCATTCTACTAGCTGTCCCTCAAACACACTGACACATCCTCACCTCTGGGCCTCTGCACTAATCTTTGGTTTATTAAGCCTTGTCCTCATTTCTCTGCTAATTCTTCAAAGTCATGAGGAATTACTCTTCTGCTTACTCTCTCCTTCTGGACTTCCCAAACTCTCCTCTCCTCTAGGTCCACTTCCCTATCTTGTAGTACTTACCAGGTGACTGAGAGCCACGGTGCCTGGCTCTCTCAGACTCCAGAAGAGTCCCTCCCAACACCTGCAGCAGAGTTCTGACCACGAAGCTGCCATGTGTGTCTCCACAGTAGAAAAGAAAATCATCACACACCTCAGAGGCTAGTCCCAAAACCAGCTCCTCCAGGGTCTCCAAGGGACCATCCTTGCCATTCTCCTCCTCCTCCACGTCCTCCTCTTTCTCTGCCGGGCTCCCCAGCAATCGAGGCAGCTGCAGCAAAGCACTTTGCAATACATGCACCCCGCATCGATGACAGGCCACAGAGCGCAAGCTGGAGCGCAAAGCAGCCCAGACTCGACACAGCGGTCTCAGGGGACTGAATCCCAACAGTTCCTGCATAATCTCACTGCCAGTCTTGTTTGTGGCCAAGGCTAGGGCCTGAGCCTCCACTTCCTTCAAAACATTGTGCACCATCAGTTCTGGATAGACAAGAAAAGAAATATTTTAGAGACTGAGAAGAGAATAGGGTTATGTTCCATCAGTTAACCGAGTGAGGGAGAGGGGGGAGCGAGGAAGAGGATATGGGAGACGAGACTAAGTCCCTACGCCCTGGGGACCCATGAAAATTTCCCTGCCTGTCCTGGAATTTATGCCCAACGAATTCCTCTT